TGTCGACTACGCTTACTCCGTAAGAAAGCCCCGTTTCTGGCATTGACAGCTGGATAATGTTGCAAGCCTCTTATGGCAAGGCATTACGTCGCGTGGTAGTCGTGTCTGTATTCCGCGTACTAATACTTGAATTGATAATTTCAGTGCGCGTCATTACGCACAGAGCTACTATTATAGTGATCTGTCTGCGACAAAGTCAGGCGTATTTTTAATACACGGTGGGAAAATGCAAAAAAGTTCATGGTAGCGATACATGATTATTAACTTGGAATAGTTACCTAATTTTTTGTACGTTAATACGATTACTTGGGGCGTTTTTATACTCTAATTAAAATCATTGTATTATAACAATATATTTTATATATCATGGTTTGTTTATTAATATTTGTTTGAGAACATTATAAGTATGAATTTAATCACTATTTTCTGAAAAAAGTAAGCAGTAGAAACCAAATAAACGGAATAATCAAGTACAAGTTTATCATGAAAGTATTTCTAAAAAAAAGTGAAGATTACTATAACATTTTTTTATTGCAGGTTTTTAATACAATTAAAGTTTAAAAAATAGTTATTAAAAAAGAAAAAAAATATGTTTAAATAACATCCATATAAAACAGTTTTATAACGATTGACATTTTCTCGCCGCTGGAATGTAAAAATATCCCAGATGACTATTCACGGGCTAAACCGTTAAATACATTTTTAAAAATTAAACTCTGTCATTTTCAGCTCTTATTGCAATTCCTAAAATGCACGAGTTCCACCGTCGCGTATAAATGCATTATTTCGGAAATGTTATTACAGCAAACTGAAACGTAATACGCAGCGCGAGTTCCAAATTTGTTCATAATTATATCAAGAACTTTATTTCGCGATTTTCGCGACGACGTGATTTCCCCCGCGATATAGTCGCGTTCGACTTGCGAGCGCGCAGGGCGCTCGGAGGGACTTGATGCGGTACTTTAAAAGTACGTGGCGCTATACCGACTACATGGTACGCTACGATTCGCTATCGTTTCGTCTAAAGTGTCTCGCGATATCGATGAGAGAACGTAGCGCGCGCCGCGCGGAACATTGCATTGCGGTCTTGAGGAAGAAATTGAACTCCGCGAAATCCAATAGGTTTCGGATCGAATCGGTGCTCGCGACCGTTCCGAAGAGCTTTATCTTCTCGACCTGGTCGCGCAGCTAAACGAGACTAAACATAATCCGCAACGGGACGTGTTCGGAAGTGGCTGACGAGGAACGCGTGTGCTTCTGCTATCCCAGATTCCACCGCCGCCATTCGTTCCTATACATGGCGCGATTTTTTGTCCGGAGGACTCAAAGGCAAAAGCTATTAACATCGTGACTTTTCTTTCGTTCAACGGCCAGAACTCATTACCACGTCGTATAAGAGTTCCGACAGTTTTCGAGGTAAAGTTGGATTAGAGGTTGGCAGCTCGTTAGCCGACCTTATCGATCGTTTCTCCTGGATACCATTGTGCACGGCGTATTAATTAAAAAATGAAAATCCAGTGCCCGTCCAACACACGAGGAGTTCTGTAATCCCAAGTTCCATATCCTCTCTCGTACTCCTCCCTTCCCCCCCCCCCCCCCCCTCTCTCTCTCTCTCTCTCTCTCTCTCTCTCTCTCTCTCTCTCTCTCTCTCTCTCTCTCTCTCTCTCTCTCTCTCTCTCTCTCTCTCTCTCTCTCTCTCTCTCTCTCTCTCTCTCTCTCTCTCTCTCTCTCTCTCTCTCTCTCTCTCTCTCTCTCTCTCTCTCTCTCTCTCTCTCTCTCTCTCTCTCTCTCTCTCTCTCTCTCTCTCTCTCTCTCTCTCTCTCTCTCTTCTTTGTCCAGAAACGGCCTCGAAGTTAAATTACACTGGATCGCTTATCGATTTTCAATTTACTCTCGGGTATCAATAATTCAATGAACTTTGGAATACTACTTAAACGAAGCTAGCGAAGTCTCAATGGGCTGGCTATAGTTTATCTTTTCATACCTCTTTCATAGTCGAGAGCATATAAATTATGGTTCGCCGGGAAAAATATGGTAGACGTTTCGAATCCGATCGATAGAATATTCTAAATGATTGTCTAGAGTCAGGTACGTGCTAGAAATAATTGGGAGTACGTGGGTATATTCAACGTAACCGTCGACAACCGTGAGAAGCAACATATGCGATTTTACCAAATCATCATCGATATGGCTCTAATCAAACGCGAACAAGGGAGATTACATATACTAGGTGTTCAAATTACTAGGAAATGTGTGTTACAGACAGGTGAGGGTGTCGAGGTGACACCTCGCAATCACTCCGGTCTGCCAATTTATCGAAAGAAAGACTAATGGTTGCCGGAGGGTGATGCTTGGTGAAATCTGCGGCGGGATGAAGAGAAAAAGGGAAATAGAGGGAAAGAAAGATAGAAAGATAGTACGGAGGAGGATGGGGCGAGGAAGGGCAATGACAGATACCAGTGTCGGAACCGATCGATCTGGAACGAAATAAAATATGCTCGCGAGAGCACGGGCGTAATTACGAGCGCCGAAGAAAAATACAGCGCGCCATTACCGGAGGGTTAAGTGAACCTGCAGCTCTGATCAGCTTGTACGGAAAGGAGAAAAAGAGAAGGATGATAGGGAAGGGGGTCAGCAGTGGGATACGGGGAGAAAATGAGATAGGGAGTGAATAAGAACGAGATAGAAGTAAAGGGGGCAGGGCAACGAGAGGCAGAGAAAGGTGAAGCCAGAGGAGAAGTATTACTCAGATAACTGAGACGTGGAACGAATGAACGAAGGGAACTTCGGAACGGGTAGAAACGAGTCGTAGGAGGTCAGACGAAGCGACGGGGAGTGCTCGCTCTCGCGGGGACCAAGGGTGGAAAGTACGGTTTGCGTGTTCGGACGCAAGTTCGCCTTGGCTTCCGGTTGTTCGCATGCTACAAGTCCACTTGTATTAGGCCCGCCATACGAATACGCCCGTCCGCGGTTCAGACGTAGTCAGTCAAGGCACACAGCGCACATGAAACACACACACACACACACACACACTCTCTCTCTCTCTCTTTCTTTCTTAGGCATTTACGATCGAACGCACGAAAGCCGTTTTGGCTAGAACTCGCCCTCAACGCGGAAGCTAATCGCCGGTTGAATTAATTCCAGAACTGAGAATGGCTTCTACCGACATGCCGACGCTTTACTATCTGGAAATGGAAAGATATCGGACTATCGAGTGCGACTAATGGCTGCCGGAAATGCTAGACAGAGCGCGTGCATGCAAACGCGAATTCGATTGCGGTTTAGCGCGAGTATGTGGATAAAAGGTTCGAGGTCATGCATTTTGCCAAATTCATGTGACCTGGCCGACCCTGGGGTTTGGAGGTGAACTCTGATGTGGTTAGGGAAACTACTGTAGACTAGATACAATCGGTCGTTACAACTTTCACGGGAAGGCATATAAAAGCCATTACATGCAGGTTAGATAATTTCTATTATTACGAGTCGTGCGCTAAAGATAATAGATAGTTGCTTTGAGATATTGCCGAATAATAACTCTATCTTAAGAAAATAATTAACAATATTAAAAGGCAAAATAAGAGTCAAGTACCTACCTTAAGCCCATTTTAGATGATCTATAATTAAATTTATAGAATTTATGGATTTTGTTTATAATTTTATATTTACTGCATTTTAATATATTTGTGTTTTAATGTACTCGTATGTGTATTCTGATTCTTCAAAAAATTTTCGTTTATATATTTTAGCATATAAAATGAGAAATATAATTCTATTTTACAATCTGGCAGAAATTATATATCATTTGAAACATATTTTGTCATTTGGAATTAAGAGAGAAAATATACATATTTTAATTTGCTACATAAAAGAATATGTTCCTACACGTGACTCAACTTTTCTTTTGAATCAACGTGCTTCAAAAAGCTATTCAAAAACACGCGTGTTTCCTCTGTTCCTTAATTATCACGCACAATATTTCATTCACGCGGCAGATCCAGCCTCGCGTTTCAATTAAAAACCCCTCCTGATACGAGTAAGCTTTACCCGAACGGCAGTCAGAAATCAATGAAAAATTTTTAGAATTAATTTCGAGGAAAATGGTGAAAACACCGTGTCCGCAACGCGCGCCAAATCAAAGTACTTTTTTGTGATTCCATATAGGGGTAGTTAAGTTAAATAATGAATGAGGATTGGCTAGCTGAGCTGGTCTGCTGGGGGTTCGGTTCGGTATACCGAGTTGCTTTGATGTCTGGCGGCAGCCGCCGATTATGGAATCAATTATTGCGCAGTGCTCCCTCTTTCGTCCTCTCTAGCCTTTTCAATTCACTTGCGCACTCGCAGCTTCGGGCTTTCGCCCGCTTTCTACTCTCCTTTATCTTCCCTCTATATTCCATTTCCTCTCTCTCTCTCGCTCTTTCTACCTCTACCTCTATTTCGTGAAGGATGCGAAAGGAAAGATTTATTCCGTATAGGAAGAAATTATACGGACACAGAATCACGGAGAACCGATTCCGCGGAAAGTCAGCAAAGTCCAGGCTCGGGTCCACCCGTGTACATAAGGATACCGCTATTATCGTCCCATAATCTACGTCAATTACCCCCGACGAACAGTATCGCGGAAATAGAACTTTAATTGTTTGTATGTGCTTATTTCTTCCAGTTATAACACTCGGAATTAATTTTAATGAAATAAACGTGGGATTTTGATAAACACTTTGCAAATATAATTACATTACCGTCGATCATAAAAAAATGTTTCGCTATTTGCAAAATCAAAATGGTTATCTTTTTTTCAATATCTTTATTTATATAATTACCGCATTTAATTTATCGTGATTAAAACATATATTGGAATTTATATGCAATTTATAAATCTAATTTATAAAGCGGATTGGAAAAGTATTGAAAAGGAACGAATTATGCAAAAATTTGCCATTTATTGTACCTTACACAATATCACAAGTGGAATATAAAAAATAATATAAACTAACGTAGATGAACCAAAAACGCACCTTTTTTAGAATAATTTCTTTCATATACATTGTTTCTTCCTGGAGGCTGTAATGGAATTTATGGGATTAGTCGAGTTCACACAAATATGATGTAATGGAATTTATGGGATTAGTCAATGTCACAGATATTATATACATGCATATTAATATATGTACAATAAAGAGCCATCGCAGTTGCACGTTGTCTGCTGGTTGCTTGTGTTTTTTTTTCTATTGATTATAAAAAATAGATGGTTACCTCAAAATTTTCTATTGATCAGAATACTTAACAAATTGATCAGAAAATTTAAAGAAATTCATTTAATAAACAATTTAAAAGAAATTTGGAAAAATGATATTGTTTACTAACATTGACTTTTATTTTTTTTGCTCTCTTTGATGGAAATCACATAACGCTGCGCTATACTCAATGGAGGTGAATAGCCAGTCTCGTAAGCAGCATCTTCGAACAGAATTAGGTACTCTTCCGTGGCAGTACTTGGTTGACGTTGCACAATCGCCTTGTAAAAGCAAGTAGTTTGCGGGTAGAGCGCCATCACTGTGGATCCTTTCGGGAACAAGGCGTGCGGATCGGTCTCAGGATTGGCCCTCATCAGTGGCAATGGTACCACTCGTCTCCGTGACAACGTGTGGCGATCCTTTTGCTCCTCGTCAATATCGTCCACCTCGTATTTATTCGTCGCGACAATAAATTGCACGACCTCCGCGAGTATCCAGTTCTCTCCTTCTTCGTTGCCTTTCACTAATGCGGCTACCATGTCGCCCATCTTCGCGATGTAAGTAGGCTCGGCGGGTATCGCACCGCACAGTGGTGGTGGTTTGGCGCCCGGTGTCTTTCCCACGTAGAGGGGTAGGGTCTGCGCGGTGCTCAGCAGCATCTTCATCAGTGCTCCGCGTCTGATAGTCTCCTTATTGCCGGCTTGACGTGCTTGTATGCGTCGTTCATTTCGTATCGTGCGTATCTCGTTAATCTTACCAAGAGCCTTGCGCAAAATCTCTTCTTCCTGCTGGGTATCAGTCACCGCGGCATTGTACAAATTTTTTAACTTTTGCTGATAGTAAGGAGAGACTTTGTCGTCCGGTGTGACCTTCTCATGAGTCTTCATGATATTGTTTAGGTTGTGCTCGGACCGGACTCGTTGACTCTCAATCTCGTGCACGAGATTGTAAATGTTCTTTAGGCGTTCCTGTATCTGAGTCGCCGCCGCGTCCGCCGTGAACGGCATTATGAAGAAGGAATTTCAGGAGGTCGTGTTAAGTAATTTAATGGAATATGCTATAGATTGTTTCCCTATAATGAAAAAGTATAAAATGCACGTTTTAGAAATATTCTATAAAATTTTCTATTGACTTAGAGTTAATTAAAAATTTAAAGTATGAAGTTGGAAAATATCATTTAATTCTACATCACTCGCGTGGTTTTTATTAACGTAATTACTCGCGTGAGGTATTTCTGACATACTAACATTATATTATGTAGTTGAAGTTTGGATCGTTCTTGGAGCGAAACAATTGACGATCACTCATATATACATGTGACCGAAAATTACAAGCATATGTCGAAGCGTTTCAAAACAAAAGATAAAGGTACGAAAACATAATCTCAATAACTCAATCTCAATAACACAATTTCAATCTTCACTGTTCTCTTTTATGATTTACAATTAAATAAAATTAATAATATTCTTTAGATAATACATAAATCCTTTAGATAAAGATAAATGCAAAACAAATTTCTTTTATAATAATTGTGAACATTTGCACTGAATAACAATGTATAAATAACATTCATATATTTTGCGAATTTAAAGACCGAAATGTTCTGAACACCCCACACGAATGAAAGGGTTGACATGTTTGACATTGATTGTTCACAAAATACACAATATTTAAAAAAAATTTTTAAGTTAAAAGTTATCTCGAATTTTTATTCCTCACAGACGATACGCTTTATTCTAAGACTGCATTCCTTTTCACAAAATGATGCGCATAATGTATTATTCTATCCTTTTTTTTTAAATATTCGATGAACAAAACAAGATTCCTCTACTCTCTAAAATTTTTAGAGTGAATCTCGTTCTGGAGAGTCCTTTCATTCTTAAAGATTGAAATTTGAACTGCTCGTTTTCAAAATTGGCTCAATATAGTCACTCTTTAAAGTGAGATTCCAATCCAAAGAATTTAAAGAGAAGAGAATTTTATGTCATGTGTACATAGCAAAAAGTCACTCTGAATGTAATTAGCAATTCAATATTTCTCGAAAAACTTATTTTCTGTCGATTAAACGTTAAAGCCGGGAGCACATAGAAAAACGTAAGTCCATAAGACGTAATCAGTAAGGAAATCGTAACATTGGATTCGCTACTGGCCTTACGGTCTCTACTGTGATTGGTCAATTCACTTACTACTTGCGTGTTACGGCCTTACGTTCTTATACGTGTCATGGGCTTAATATCTGACATGCAATTGCGCGTATTATTCAGTTCTAAACTCGTTTAGGCAGGAATCAGACTATGCATTGAAGATTGAGATTAAAGATTAAAGATTGAAATTTCATCAACGAGGACGAAGGAATTTTGGTTCCTTTTGTTCTGATTGGTCAAACTTCAATCTTTTAATCTTCAATCTCATTCTTCAATACGTAGTCTGATTCCGGCCTTACTGAATGTTACACCGGTTACGCGTATTACGTCCGCCAACAGCGCTCGTGCTTAACATGGCCGGCGCAGCACTAAATCAATAGCTTACCTGGTCGGGAATTGTCTCATATCCGGCTGGATGAAAGCTGGACGAGTCTCCGGAGAATGACGTTTCACTCAAACGTTTTAAGACACCAGTAGTTTCTAAGCAGGACTTCCTAGCAGCAAGCTGCGAGAGGCACCAAACGTCTCGAGATGCTACACGTTCGATCGTTTACGCGCATCTGCGCCACACTGCTTCTCCCACTACCTTCTGGCAGCAGCTGATCAACAGTTTTCTATCAAGGCGGTGCTGCCATCTCGTAGCGAGCTCTGAAAACAGAGGACTAGTGATAGTTCTGATCGTCGTAGAGCTGGAGTCACTAGTATCCATTGCGTATCTCAGGGTTGCTTTTAGCAGGCTAGAATATTGACTCAAAGCCATTTCTTTTATTTTTTTAATAAAAAAAATCTTAAAGCTACTCGACAAATTTATTAATCGTTAATGTATAAAATCTTTTTTACGTCAGCGAATGACATTAATATTACACGTTGATTATATTAGGTGTTAAACTTAATTCCTGCCGTTTTTTGTCTCCAAAATTGATTTGTTTCGAAGGGAAATATCTTAATCAAAGTATTATTAATAAAGTATTATTGATTAGTAATAAAGTAAAAAATGGAGGAAGTTATTTTGTTTAAGGTATTTATTCATCTTCCCTTCGAAACAAATCAATTTTGGAGACGAAAAACGGCAGGAATTAAGTTTAACACCTAATATTAATGAAATGATAAATTGATATTTTTTGAAAAGAATTAAAAAGTATCTTTTTAGATGAAAAAAAAAGCGTATTACAGTTCGCGACGGTAATTTTGCTTCAAACTTACTGAAATTTTGTTTTATCGAACACCCCAAGTCAAGAGAAAATAAAAATGATGTACTTTAATGTTAAAATGATTTTTTTTTTTACAAAATTTGACTGCTTATTAACTTTAAGCATCAAAATGAAGTAATTTTAATGTTATTATTTTTTGTTGATTTTTACGTGTTCCTTGAGACGGTAATCTTTTCTATAGGTATATTCGAATTTATATTAATGCATTGGACTAAATAATTTAACAAAGTGCTAATAAATATTCAAGTACCTCTACGTGCGTGAGGATACATAATTAATATGTTACATAAATTATCGAATCATCAAGCTTTCTCGTTATAATTCGATCACAACTTTCTCTGCCTTGCTTTCTATTTGTTGCAAAAATATTAGAGTATGAAAATAACTGATTCTTGAATATCACACATCGTAAATTATCAAGCATCGGTTTTAATGTTCGGTATGGCCGAAATATTTTTTGTCTTAAAATATAAAAGGTTTCCATAGCAAGAAATCTAATTAATGGCTTAATCTCGAATATTTAATGCCATAAATTATATGAATGGTTTACCTTTTTTTGTATCTTTCTCAGCAATGTCTATCATATAGCGATTTATACAGCTCAACGCTATTACTGTACTTGAATCGTATTCGAGATATTTCATTAAACGTTCAATCGGACATTCCATTACTTGTGAGGTATGTGTGCGCGCCAATGATAAAGTCGTTTCGATATGCGAAAAATCGCCGTACGCTGATAATTTTTCTTAAGACGAACTCGTTCCACGTAGATCCAATCGTATATCGTATCGCACAGACAGGCTGACTGCGGCACCAAGCGGAGGCATACATACATTGAATGTGGCGTGTATCATCGCTAACAACCAACAGGTTAACCGCGCTAACAGCATCGATAGCACCACAGAATGCCATAACTCATTCACGCCGAGGCATGCCAAGGCTTGGGAAAACTGAATCTAATCTCTTGATTAAATTCATACTTCCGCGGCGAGATTTCGCATTATCGTACTTTGATAAACGTACCCATCCATTTGTGCAAAATTCTTCACAATGAATGATAATCCGGCATTGATATTTAAGAAGTAAGTTGAAACTGGCATAATTATGAGAGAAAAAAATATAACATATAAAAACATCGTATCGCAGAAAAAAAACAGCAAAACTCAATATTTAACTGTTTGTCATTTTTTTAAATTTAACATTTGTTATTAAAATGATAATATAATAATTTTTGGTATTTTTACCCGCAAAAAACGTACTGAAATTTTACTGAAATATTAAAAAATTCAGCTAGATATATACAGAAAAATAATTTTAAAAACTCAAGCATGATGAGTGATGTTGCAAAAAAATTGTGATATTCTAGTTATCAACTTCAGCGTCCTGCGTAATTCTGTTAATAGTTCAATAAAATTTTATTTTCAAATCTTGATCTATAGTTGAATTTTAGATATTACAGCCAAACCATTTTTTTTCCGTGTACACGATAGAGCAAACGTATGATTGCGTGTGTGTGTGTGTGTGTGTGTCATAAAATTACTCGCCACATCGAAAATCTATAATGTATTTCAATGAGCGTCGATCGAAGCATTCGTTTCGGTAAATCGTGACCGGGATTTCGCCATGACACGAAAACGTGTCGTATCGTTCTCAGATATGCGATCTCTTGACATATCGCGGCGTGTTGCATCGTTGCGCGAGATGCATCATGTGCACGTGCATCATCGTTAACAACCGACTATTCTAACCGCGCTGCCTGTAACCTGTAACAGTGCCGATGGTGCACGGGACTATGCCATAACGCATCGCATGTAGAACTTGAGAGAATTCTGAGCTGCGTGGACCATTACCGCGCGTCTGCCTTCGTCTCTCGAGTGTGTCTACATACATGTTCGCTCTATCGTATACGTGCGCGTGTACATACACCTGCCGATATGCGGCCTCGCTGCAAACGTTATCCCAACCACGCGCGTTTAAGCTCTTACGATCAACTCCGTGACCTATCCGCAATGAGATGCGTGTCACGCGTGCCACCGGCGCGCACGTGTACCGCCGTATACTGCATCGTCGAGAAATCGTAAACGATTTCGCGGTCTAGTACATCCCAAGAGTTTCACGCATGTGTGAGTAGACATATATGTACGCGCATTATCGATTGGAATCCCACTAGAATTCTTTAAACGATTCTCGATTTCTCTATTTTCAGCCATTTACGCGCGAAATGCAAAATATAATCATTTCGACTGTTACTGCTCTAAACTTCAATAGTCTCAGTTACTCATATTTTAAGTAATCTAACGCAGTTGACATTTTTTTAGCCATTAAATTATATACTCTCTGAAACTTTTAAAGTGAAATCTCACTCTTAAAGATTGAAAATTGAGCTACTCTTTTTCAAGACTGACACAATTTTTAACTTTTAGAATAAGATTTTATTCCAAAGAATTTAGAGAGTATACAATTCTAGAAATACATATGAGATAAGGCTGTGTAACGTCGTTGATATAATGTCAATTTAAGGAAATCTTGTTTAAAAATTTAGAACATATATAAATCTTATTTTAAGAAATAGGATACATATAATACTCTTAAATTATATTAATGCTATTAAATGTGTCGCCTCTCGCAGTAATTACTCCGACGAAGCTCAATTCCGTACTCGTATGCTTTCTCGTCGGGTAGAAATTAAATTCTTTTTACATGTCTGACGAGTGCAACCGCGAATGAGCTATTAAAATGTATTACGGCGACGATGAACTCAGCTCACGTCACTTCAGAATATTACGTACATACACATGTACACATATAAATGTACATACATATGTATACATTTCGAAATATAGAACAAGGTGTCTAACGAGGCAAAAGGAGAGATCTTGGGCCTCCAGCAAAGTCCTCACGCTATTTCTCGCCCTTCGTCTAGACTAAGAGTCTAAACACCTTTCACTGATATATTTTGATTCTTATTACCGAATTCGCGCAACTAATCCTGAGGCGGATTCTAAATCTCAATGCGTTGAGTGGGCGACGATAGTACACTGAGAAAAAAAAGTTGTTAACTTGACTAAATGCATTTAGTTCGTAATGAGTATTTAGTTCGAATATTTATATATTTAGATTAACGAAATCTTGTAATTTAAAACATGTTATTTGTTTGAATTAACAAATATTTGGTTGACAGCCCGTGACCCCTACATTTAGTTGAATCAACTAATATTTTTTTAAAACAACAATTTTTTTTTCTCAGTGTATTGGCAGAACAATGACGGAGAGAGAACGAATTTTCGAATGTATAAGTTTTTATTTTAATCTTTTTCTCAGTTATTACACCTTTATCTATTATTTTTTTCACGTTTTATAACAGATAAATTACGGTTATGTTTTTTTTAAATACACTGAAAAAAAAGGTTGAAAATGAACGAATCAGAAGATTGTGATCACATCAATCAAAACTCTAATTTTCTCAACTAGAATTGTAATGGATTCAGTCTGAAAATTCTGATTTGTCTATTTTCAACCAGAATTTCAATTAATGCAATCAAACTTTTTGTCCAATGTATCACATTGTGTGTACAATACACTCACTGACGAAAAAAAAGCTTCCATATAAAAATTTATTATACCAGTTGTGACGTTTATGTTTCGATCAATGTATTCGGTAAATAAATACGATGTAAGACAAAGCAAAATAATACAGCGAAATCGCTGCGGAAGCTACATAGGCATTCGCATAAATTGGTCGTGCGTAACGAATGGCTAATTTCATTGCGGCTCGCACGCGATTCGATTTTCATCTAATATTGGTGCTTTACGACGCACAACTTAACGACTTGTTGCAGTCGTTAATCCGGCTGCGATGCCGGATACTGGTGCGTATAAACGATATTTCAAACGGATCCTTCGTAAGGCACGGAATGAAAATGTCAAATGCAGCTACGTTACCCTTGACGCGAACGGGAAACAGGAACCTGCAAGGAAAGCTGGGATGAAGAGTTTGACTCGTAAACGCAATTTATACGCAGAGATTCGATATCTCGTGACTCTCACATATGTTCGTCCCTTTGTTTCTATTAAGGTTGTTTGTCAAATCGTTCAGTACAAGCAGTGGATGGTTTCGCCAACTGACAGTCTTCGCGTAAAACTGAGCGAATTGCGAATAAATACGTAGATATATAGGTATATAGATACCAACTTTTCTGAGCTCACATTTTACTTTCCGGGATCTTATCGCAAATAATTAACTATATATGAAAAAATATTGATATGATGAACTCTATAATTTATTTACAAGTTATTATATCCGTATTCATAGTCGGGATTTATATTTAAGGCTTCCTTAAATTTATCTTCAGATATTCTACAAATTATTTTATAGGC